TGGCCAATAAAGAATTCTGTTCTGTTCTGTTCTGTTCCGTTCCGTTCCATTCCATTCCATTCCATTTCATTCCAGATGGGATTTGGCATTATTACCCAGCTATCCTTCCCAATGAAATGAGATAGGCAGATTTTCTTTCTGTTCCATGTGTATTTGTGATAGGTAAATATATGTATTTTTCTTGCAGTAGTCCTGCAACTACTGATCCTTGTTGCTTAGCCTTAAGTTTGCAGCCTATTTGTTACCAGATGTCAAGAGCTCCAATGCCTAAATCAGTCCTTGATGAATGGATGATGACTGATATTATTTGTGGGTTTCTATAAATTATGACTCACCATATTTTGGGATAGACACTCTTCAGACTTTCTATTCAAAGCTTTCCATTCTGCCTGAATTCAATCCATTATTCTAGCTGTGTATCTAAGGCCCAGATGTTAATTGTCTTGATTGCATTTCTTCCACTGAATTTGGACTTTAAGATCATCTTCATTCTCTTGATGTATTCATTTATAAGTTGTTCTTGACTGATTGTGTTTGATAATTGTCATCTTGAAGGATGCCCATTTATAGTGATCATCTTCATCAAACTCTTGTCATTTCCATTGGACATGTTGATTTTTTCAGTTTTCAATATTTTCCCCAGTATTTGATAAGTATGGCATATTTTTCCAGTCCAAACTCTATTGTAATATCTTAGCAATATCTTAGTATATATGGACAATGTTAAACAGAGATTCTATTTCAGATGATATTTTTCCATGCAGCTTTCAGATCACACCTGTAAATAAGTGGGATAGCCTGGCAGATGTTTTTGATGTTTGATAGGCATGGCTTGACTTGTTTAGTATTATTGCCAGAGGAATCAATGCAATGACAAACAATAGTGGTGAAAGTGAGTCTCTTTGAAATATACCTCTGTTGACATAAATCTCTTTCATTCCATCACTTTCTTGCAATGTTGTTATACTGCTTGGCATTGAGCGGGTGTAGACCAATCAAATGTTTCAACAAATTATTTTATTAATAATGCATATTGGAGAGATTGAGATCCTTCAGACAAGCAAGTTTTCATTGTATTCATCTGTTTCCACCTCCTTAAAAGACAATGGCATAACTTTGATTTAAAAAGTTTTAAAAATACATGATTTTTTAAACTATACAGCATATGGGTACTTAGAGTATGGATTTGGGAAAATGAATAATGGATTAAAGCAGGTCCAGAGAGAATTAGAATTATAGTTTTAGTAAAAAAAAACATCATTTATTTGTGCTAAATGATTTTGAATTATTTTGAATTATTTAGGAAATATTTTCTCATGGAAAAATTGAGATTAAAAAAGGATATAAGGAGATCTTGAAGGCTGGATACTAGAGCCAGAGGATGAAGAAAATGAACATGAAATCTATAGTGCAAACTTTTGAATACCTTTGACCTATGTTTTTGGATGGAATGGATCAAATGCTTGATAAAATTGACAGAGTTTTTTCTAATGAAGCTGTAAACAAGAAGGAACTAAAAATCTATGAAATTAATTTGAAGGGGAATTTAAACATAATACAAATGAATCTGTTGGATGACTCATTCACTAAAGAAGGTAAACAGATATAAAAACAGGAAGCTGTTCTCCTCCATGCTGCATCGAGAGCCCAGGATGGCTTGACTCCTTCCTATAACATAATTTAGCTGAGTCTGTACGGAGATATAAAAGCCAGCCCCTGGGAGAGACCCCAGCTTTTGACTCAGCTCCTTTCAGTCAGTAGCCATGTCCCTGAAAGCATTCGAGCACTCACCAGTGATCTTCAGTACTTTTTCCTCACTTCAAGCAGTTCCCAGGGATTTGGGCAGCTGCTCTTCCAGGAGAGCAGGGCTCTCTCTCCTGCAACGTTGGGAGCAGCATTACCAGAGCTCTGTACAGGCAAGCTGTCTGTAGACCTCTCCCATGCCTGTGGTTTTGAGTGATTGTAAAAAACGATTAGCAAACCGATAAAACCACAAGCCAGCTGATCATGTGGCCAGTGGCTGCGTTTTCCTTTGCTGACTTTGCTTGGGGCTCTTTATAGCCTAAGGAGCAATTCTTCGACTTTGGAGCCTATTTCCCCTAGTCAGCGGCCATCTTGGATTGAAGCCTTCCACTATGAGGTGAGTGGCCATTTTGTAAGCCCAAGGGCCATTTTATACCCTAAAGGGCTTCATAAAAAATTCTAAACAGTTTCTTTCTAACGAAAGAGCCTTTATTCTACAATTGGAGAAAATGAGGCTTGGGCAGAGATTCCCCACCCCCCCGGTGGAACAGTCTCTTAAGCCCAATAAGAGAAAAAGATGTAGGCAATGCACCTAATCAGTCCAGAAGGAGGTGGCTGCTAAAATCAGAGCTAAGGCTCTAACCCCTAAGAAGGCTACTCAGGCTGAGTTGAGGGCAGAGAAGTGCAGGCATGCAGCCCTAGAGGCAGTTCATCAGAACTATTCAAAAGAAGGGAGTGCAACTACAGCATGTTTCAGGTGATACCCGTGGACCCCAGCCAAGCCCTCCCAGGGGAGGAGAAGTTATCTATGAGCCTTTCCATCCTCCATCCTGGTCTCCTAGGCTTCTTCAGTACAATCTGATCCTCAGGATCTAAGTAAATCTGGGCCTTATTTCCAACAGGCTTCTGTGCCCTATGCTCCTCCCCCTCCCTCCAGGCCTAGAACTTCTTTTCAATCTAGGCCTGAAGCCACCTTCACTCCCACAACAGTGGGCCTTCAGCCTTCTGCCTCTACCTTTGAGCATAGACCAGGGGATATCCAAGATGTTGTCTCATTGGCCATTAGGCAGGGGTTGGCTGAAGGCTTCAAGCATAGTCTTCAACCTCTGGAAAGGGTTCAGGCCCTTCTCAATCTATAAGTTCCTTGCCTCATCACCCTGATTTACACAGGCCCCAGGACCTCAGGGTCCATTCTTCTCTACCAGAATGGGAGGAGTTTGATGAGGAAGGAAGGCCTTCACCATCTGAACACAATTACTCCTCTCGTTCAGAATGTGAAGAGGGTGAGATTTATGACCAAAATCTTTCAGAGGAAGAGGATTCTCACCCAGAGCAGACATCCTCTGCATTGATCTTCAAACCTACTCTCTTCAGGCCATTACTCAGCAAGGCTTTGGTCACTGCCAAGCTGTCACCGGATGAAGTGGCTCCTGAGCCACAAGGAAATCCGTCTAGCCAAGGGGACTCGCTATTTTCCGAGCCTGTAGTGCATGCAGAGGTTTTGCCTTCTCCCATTTTGTTCCTGGACATGGTCAAGGAACAGTGCACTTCCCCTTCGGCAGATCCTCGCCCATCTTCTTTGGATAAGCGTTTCTACAATGACAGCACAGCTCTGGACCATGCCCTGGCAGTGCCTTCTGTTGACATTCTGGTTCTGGCCTCGTTCTCATCTTCTGGCACTCCCACGGAGCCAAAAGATATCCTGAAACCGGATGATAAACATTCCGAACAGACCCTGAAATGCAATCACCAGGCCGCTGCATGGGCTGTTTGGGTTTCAATAGGAGCATCCTTTTTCATGAGGGCATTCATATGGTGGCTGCGCCAGAAGCAGAATAAATTGCCTGCTTCTGAGCTTCGGTCTCACCAAGACCTTAATAAGATTATCACAGCAGCAGAATTCACTGCAGATGCCGCTTTCAATTCCACCAAATTTGCGTCCAAGGCCATGGCATCTTCAGTAGCAGCAAGAAGACTTTTATGGCTCCGAAATTGGCAGGTGGAGTCATGCTGCAAGTGGAAGCTGGCTTCAGTTCCATTCACAGGCGATAAGCTTTTTGGTGATGCTCTGGAACCTTATCTCATCGAAACCAGAGATAAATGTAAAATTCTCTCTTCCTCTAGGAAGAAAGCCGACTATCGCCCTGCTCCTTATCGCCCCTCTGCCTTTTGAGCGGAGACCTCATCTCGCTTCCCCCACTCTCAGAGGCCATACTCCCAATGCCAAGACCAACCTGTGGAAGCATCTGGCAGGCAACAACCTTCTACTGGTAAACAGCCCTTTTGGGGGGGGGGAGTGGGTTGTTCCTTCTGTCACTCTAAGTAATCCCTCATTCTCCCCACCCATCGGAGGTCACCAAGCCTTCTTTTCCTCCAAATGGGAGGAGTCAATGACAGACGCCTGGGTGCTCAGCACTATTAGGTCAGGGTTACAATTGGACTTCCTAATGCCACCCCCAGAAAATTTTTTGATCTGTCCTGTCTCTCGGGACATTTCAAGGCAAGCCCTCCATGAATCAGGCCATTCAGCAGCTTCTTGAAATCAGGGCTATTCAACCTGTTCCCACCTCTCAATGGGGATGTGGGCTTTACTCTCACCTTTTCATCATTCCCAAAGCCTCAGTGGGGGGTGGGGGGTGGCAAGCTATCCTTGATCTAAAATTTCTCAACCAATTTGTAAAATACAGGCGATTTAAAATGCAGACTCTGCATTCTATTTTAGAGAGCTTTTGGGAGGGCGACCTCCTCTCTTCCATTGATCTCATGGAGGCTCTCTTCCACATCCCCATTTGGCCTCATCATCACCAGTTTCTCCGTTTCTGTTATCAGAATACCTATTACCAGTATCAAACACTTCCCTTTGGCCTCTCATCAGCTCCAAGGGTGTTCACAAAGGTTCTGGCAGCTTTGATGGCATCTCTGCATTCTGTTCGAGTGAGGATCCAATGCTACTTGGATGACATTTAAATTCTGTCCTCTTCCATCCATGCAGCTCATTGGGATCTGCAAATTACCCTGTCATATCTCCAGAGCCGCATATTTTCCATCAACACCAAAAAGAGCCAACTCTCTCCCACAACCAAATTGCAACACTTGAGAGCAGTCATCGATACCACGTCATGCCAGGTTTTCCTGTCCCCGGCTCATGGAAAGAGCCTTGCATAGATCATCAACCAGACCCAGCAACATCAAACTATCCCCCTGTCACTGCTGTCCAAACTTCTGGGGAAGATGGTCTCCTGTATTGGCATCGTCCCATGGGCTCGGCTCCACTCCCGACCCCTCCAATGGCTCCTGCTTCCCTACCAACAAGCAGGAATCAGCCACTCATCCATCAGGGTCCCGCTCCCGCTGCAAATCCGGAGATCTCTCAATTGGTGGTGTTCCCCATCAATCTGGAAGGGACACCTGTTCAGGGACCCAAACAGGCTAGTGATAACCACCGATGCCAGCCTCCTGAGTTGGAGATCCCTTATGCAAGGCCAGATAGCTTAGGGCGTCTGGTCCAGGTCAGAGCAGACCCTTCCCATAAATTGGCTAGAGCTCAGAGCCATTTTTCTGGCTCTCAAGCATTTCCGGCAATCAGTGACCAGCTCTCATGTTCTAGTCCTTATGGACAACATGGCCACAAAGGCTCATGTCAACCAGCAAGGGGGGATGAGGTCCAAAGCCCTCATGAGAGAGGCTCTATTGTTGGGGTTATGGGCAGAGAAACACCTGTTGTCAACCTCGGCAGACCACATCTCCGTGGTTGACAACTCCCAGGCCAACTGGCTCAGCAGGAGCCTAGTCAGCCAGGAAGAATGGTCTATTTCTCTGTCTCTATTCAGGGACCTTTCCCTCAGATTCGGAACACCGGAGGTGGATCTCTCCTCCACTCCTCAAAACACCCAAGTCACCAGATTCTTCACCAGGTTTCCTTGCCAGGGAGCGAAGGGGACCAATGCTCTGCAGTGCAGATGGCCCAAGGGTCTTCTCTACACCTTTCCCCTGCTTCCCATCATTCCGGCAGTAATTTGGAAGATGTTGGAGGAACGAACAGAGTTCCTCCTCCTGGCACCCTATTGGCCAAGGAGGCCCTTGTTTGCGGACCTCGTCAACCTATCTGTGGCTTCTCCTTGATGATCCCAGCCCATCTAATCTCCCTTCACCAGGGGGCCCTGCTCTACCCAGAGCCCCAGTGGTTCAAGCTGACCGTGTGGCACTTGAGTGGCAGTGGTTAGAGGAGGGTGATCTTCCAGAAATGGTCATCCTCACTATCCTGACATCTTGCAAACCTTCTACAAGGTGCACCTATGATGCCACCTGGAAGGCTTTTTCCCAATGGTGCCTCAGGGAGGGTCTTTCTCCTGCTTCAGCCCAGTTGGCAGAAGTTCTTAGCTTCGTTCGGCATGGGCTGGAGAAAGGTTTGGCCCCAAACACCTTACGCAGGTAGGTTGCGGCCCTCTCCTTAGTCCTTTCATGGGGTTCTTTTCCTTCCTTATCCCATCACCCTTCAGTCAGGAGGTTTTTGAAAGGGGCTTCCAACCTCCATCCACCGGTGATTCACAAATATCCTTCCTGGGACCTTCATATGGTCCTTAATGCCCTTATGAAGCCCCCCTTTGAACCCCTTATAACAGTGTCTCTCCGTTTCCTGACTCTGAAGGTAATGTTCCTTGTTTCCATCACTTCTGCCAGGAGGGTTTCTGAGCTTGCTGGTATTTCCATCAGACAGGACCTTTGTTCCTTTCACGATGATAGGGTTGTTCTCCGTCTGGACCCCTCATTTTTTCCAAAGGTTAACACCTGGTTTCACAGGTCCGAGGACATTGTGCTGCCTGACTTCTGTCCTCTCCCACACTATGACTTAGAGTGGCAGTGGCACACACTAGATGTAAGAAGGGCTCTTAGAATATACATTAGGCACATTTCCTCCTTCAGGAAGTCAGAAGCCATGTTTGTTTCCTTTTTCTCTTCTCACTTGGTGCACAAGGCCTCTTCTACTATTAGCAGGTGGGTCAGGTCTTGCATTGAGCAGGCCTACAAAGCTGCGGCCCTTCCAGTTCCCCGAGGTCTGACAGTGCACTCTATCAGTAGCGTGGCCACTTCTGCTGCCTGTGTGACCCAAGTATCCTTGGAGGAGATCTGTCATGTGGCCACATGGACATCCCCATCTCCTTTCATCAGACACTACCGTCTGGATGCCTTTGCCTCGGCGACTGCAGCCTTCGGCAGACAGGTGCTTCAACAAGTGGTTCCACAGTCGGTGTGATGAGCCGGATGAGGACCCACCCGTGGACATGCAAGCTTTGGTATGTCCCATCCTGGGCTCTTGATGCAGCATGGAGGAAAATGGGCATTGGTAGAAATTACCATGAATGCCCTTTCTATCTATGCTGCAAGAGAGCCCAGCCCCTCCCTTGATTCATCCGGAGAGGGTTAGACGTATTTCTATATTCATTTTGTGCTTTCAGAGACACCTTTCAGTCTGTCAAGTATCTTCACCAAAGCTGGGGTCTCTCCCGGGGGCTGGATTTTATATTTTAGTACAAACTCAGCTAAATGACATCATAGGAAGGAGTCAACCCATCCTGGGCTCTCTTGCAGCATAGATAGAAAGGGCGTACATGGTAACTTCTACCAATGCCCAATCTGGATACTTTTTTTCTTTTGGATAGATATAAAAACTATGCTAAGTTTTGGAAAAACTTTTTTTAGTAGTGTCTAAACGATAAATTTACTTACTGATAAATTGTTAAAATTCTGAAGGCTTTCACTTTGAAACATAGATGAGTAGCAAACTACTCTAAAACTTTTTGAAGGGATTAAAGAATATTTTTTTAAAAAAAATCAGGAAAGTTTGTTAGCATAAGCTGTTTCACCAGAGTAAAAATAATAATTATATCTAGTTCCTCTTCTTGGACTTTTGCTATCAAAGATTGATTGATGTAGCATTTGGGCCTTGTTTCTCTTATCTAAGAGATGAGCTCTTAAATAATAAGAAGAGAAAGTACTTTATGACTTTATTTTATCCTCTCTCCCTCCTTTTTCTGTTGGTATATTTTGTAGTTTCTATTGGCTTTTATACCATTTATAACTTAATAAAATTATTTGCAAAAAATACAGAATAATAACAAATAGCTTAAAAATAGAAACATCATTTTGATATCATAACTTGATATGATAATACTTAAACTGGCATAGTTGCTAAAATCTCACCATTGATCTCAGCAGATTTGTTACATGATCAGATTTTTTAAAACTGAAACTTGAGCTTTCAGTGTTTTTGAAGACTATTTCAGGAAGATACATGGATTTCAGTAACAAGGTACATCAAATAACTCATTTGGTATTCTTCTTCCAGGAGCACAGTGTTGAATTTGCTCCATGCTAAGTCCCGCAAGCTTTCTATTAGGTAGGACAAAATAGAGCAGTGCAGCACAATGAAAGATTTTATAGAAGCTTCAAGATTGGCCTATATGACCTCCATTGTTGCAAGAATGGAGCGCTTTGATTCTTGAATATCAGAAGATATTCTTTAAAAAGCTACCCTCTGCCATAGCTGAACCTCTAAGCATAATCTTTGAAAAAATTTTCAGGACCATCTCCTTGCCAAAACTATGGTCACAAGCCACGGTCATCCCCATCTTCAAAAAGGGAGACCCCAGTCTAGTTGAAAATTACAGACCAATCTCTTTATGCTGCATCACCTGTAAAGTCATGGAATCAATTATTAGCCAATCCATCATCCTCCACTTAGAAACAAACAACCTACTCTCTAATAAACATTTTGGTTTTAGGAAAAAACTATCCTGTAATCTGCAACTCTTACACTGCAAAAACATATGGACTACACAACTCGATCAGGGCAAAGCAGTAGATGCAATCTACATAGACTTCTGTAAAGCCTTTAATTCAGTGGTACATGACACAAACTACTCCTAAAACTAAAATCTTACAGTATCTCTGGGCACCTGCATTACTGGATAGAAGCATTCCTGTAAAACAGACAACAAATGGTCAAAATTGGGAGCATCCTATCAAATTCTGTACTTGTCAACAGTGGTGTCCCCCAAGGCAGTGTTCTAGGACCAACCTTTTTCATACTCTACCTAAATGACCTCTGTGATCATATTAAGAACAACTGTGTTCTCTTCGCTGATGATGTCAAGCTATTCAACACCACAGACAATACTGCTACTCTTCAAAAAGACCTTGACTATGTATCAGAATGGTCAAACAAATGGCAACCTCAATTCTCAACAAATAAATGCTCTGTCCTACATATTACCAAAAAAATAAAAATCAGAAAATAAAATACAAGCTGAATAGTCAAGACCTTGTTGATGATCCAAACTCTGTCAAGGATCTTGGAGTACTCATCTCAAATGCCCTAAGTGCTAGAGCCCACTGTAACTACATAGCCAAAAATGCATTAAGAGTTGTGAACCTAATCTTAGGTAGCTATTTCTCTGGTAATATTACACTACTAACTAGAGCATACAAAACATTTGCTAGACCAATACTCGAATACAGCTCATCAGTCTGGAACCCACATTACATATCTAATATTGACCCAGTTGAGAAAGTCCAGAAATATTTCACAAGAAGAGTTCTCCATTCCCCTACTCATTGCAGAATACCTTATTCCACCAGACTTGAAATTCTAGATCTAGAAAACCTTGAACTACACCGCCTTCGGTCCGATCTAAGTATAGTATATAAAATCATACATTGCAATATCCTACCTGTCAATGAATACTTCAGCTTCAACCATAACAACACAAGAGCACACAATAGATACAAACTCAAGGTTAATCGCACCAAGCTTGATTGCAGGAAATACAACTTCAGCAACAGAGTGGTCAATGTCTGGAATACTCTAGCTGACTCTGTGGTTTTTTCCCAAAACCCCAAAAACTTTAACCTTAGACTGTCTACTATTGACTTCACCACTTTCCTAAGAGGTCTGTAGGGGTGTGCATAAGCGCACCAACATGCCTACCATCCCTGTCCTATTGTTTCTTTTATATATTTTTTATTTTATTTTTCTTATATGTCTCCATGTCTCCATATGTATTCATAACTATGTTTTTACTTATACCTATTATCTTGTAAGCAATTGACAAATAAAAATAAATAAAAGTAAAAAGATCATCTTAGTTTAATTCCTGACATTGTTCTTTTCTCCTTACTACTGCTATGGCCCTAGAAGCAAATTCAGGAGATTAGCAGATTTCCAAGATTATTACTTTTTCTCTGCTCAGAAATCTTAGCCTGTTTTGAATCCCTCTCACATAGATTCTTAAAGTAATTTAATTTATCACTAAAAATGTAAGAATCATCCAATTAAAATTTACTTTAAATATTAAATTTTAAAAAATAAAATGTTTGAATACTTTTTTTTTCTCTTTTTTAAAAAATATTCTTTTCAGCATTGTTTTATGCCTTTAAAGCTAAAGCTAGGATTTATGCAAATAATGGTATTCTGGTATTATGGCCTTCCTGGGATAGGTCACTACTGAAG